AATAAAATGGTTAGGTATTTATAGGGAAAAAATACAGAATTTTTTGGTATTTAAAAAAAAAAATTCAGAATTTTTCAGAATTTTTTCGAATTTTTTTGGCAAAAAAAAAAAAAAAATCTGTTTTACTGTGCGCTGACGTCAGCGTGACGCCAGCGCTGACGTCAGCCAACTCGGGCTTCAGCCCGGGCAAGACTTGCCCTTGGGCTTGCTCGGGCACGTGGGACCCACCACCAAACCGGGCTACGGGCCCTGCGCTGGAGCTGCCTCGGGCTCCCTCTGGCAGCCTTTCCCCCGGGCTGGGCTTTGCGCTGGAGATGCTCTTAGCCGTGGCAAGGGGGGAGCTAGGGCAGCAACTATTTACGTGAATAGTGGTTGCCCTTGCAAATAGTATTTTGTGTTTCCACCCGTTGCTATGGCTAAGGGTAGTTACTATTCATTTTTTTTGTTTTTTTCACAAATTTTTTTACCTCAATAATTGGATAATATTTTCGGATAATATTTCCGGGTTCCTACGTGTCAAGACTATTCATAATCGGATAAAATTTCTGGATAAGATTTTTGGGTTCAAATTTCGGATGAATTTCAAAATTCAAATTTCAGATAAAGTTTTGGGTTCAAATTTCGGATAAATTTCAAAATTCAAATTTCGGATAAATTTGGGTTCAAATTTCGGATGAATTTCAAATTTCAGATAAGATTTTCATCCAATCAAATCAAGCCACGTAGCATCTTTATCTTGCCAAAATTTTCTATAAAACCAGAGGCTCAGCTCATACCTCTCACACCACATCTTTTTATATTTTCATTTCTTAGAGTTTAAAATTCATACTCCATTCATTCTCAATGGAAGAATATAGAAGATGCTTGGAGAGGCAAGAACGAGAAAGAAATGAGAGAAACCGTAGAGCAGATGAAATAAATGAGTTTCAGAGACAAGTCGATAAACAAGTTCTCATAGCAGTGGCTTTACAAGATGAAGAGAACCAAGGTCACCGTCGTGGTTCACAACTCGGCCGTCGCTGGAATGTGGACAGACATAGGCATTCTTGGGGTAAGAATCATTTGGAAGATTATTTTATCCCAATTTCTTTGTACTCTGATGTTGATTTTCGAAGGCGATTTAGAATGCAACCCCATTTGTTCAATAAAGTCATATGATATTTGCAATTATGATGCATACTTTGTTCAAAAGTGTGATGCTACTGGGGTTTTGGGGCTTCTTCCGGAGCAAAAGCTTACAGCTGTTATACGAATGTTGGCGTATGAAGCATCTACTGATCAGGTGGATGAGATTGCGCGGATGGGGAAGTCCACTACGTTGGAGGCTTTGGTAAGATTTTGTGATGCAATTGAAAATCTATACACTAGGGACTACCTGCGTAGACCTACTCCCAAGGACCTCCAACGGCTTCTACAAAAAGCCGAAGCTCGAGGATTTCCATGAATGATTGGTAGCATCGACTGCATGCACTGGCAATGGATGAATTGCCCAACTGCCTTGCAAAGTGATTACGGAAATAGAAAATGCCAAAAAAGTTATCATCCTTGAAGCTGTTGCTGGCTTCGACACATGGGTTTGGCATGCCTTCTTTGGAGTTGCCGGATCTCAAAATGACCTCAACGTGCTGGGTCAATCCCCGGTCTTCAACGATGTTTTAAGAGGCTAAGGCCCCAATATCACCTATCAAGTCAACAATACAGTCTACTATATGGGATATTATCTAACTGACGACATCTACCCGAGGTGGATCACTTTTGTCAAATCCATTCCGAATCCCCGATCCCAGAAGCAAAAATTATTTGCTACTTATAAAAATTGATACAGGAAAGATGTCGAAAGGTGTTTTGGGATCCTTCAAGCTTGGTGGTTGATTATTCGAGGTGCGGCCCGTATATTTGATGAGGAGATCCTCAGAAGCATTATGATGACTTGCATCATCCTCCATAATATGATTGTGGAGGATGAGTACGATTATGATGCTTTTGAGGTCTACAAACCGGATCCAATGAACATGGCCTTGACACAGATTTATGAAAGGCCCATGGGCCCAAGTGGAGAACCGTTTGAGCCGGAACCGTTGGTGAGGGATGATCGTTTCATGACCCGGATGATAGATAGATATACAGAGATGTAATCTTCGTATATTCATAACAGGCGTCAAGTTGGCTTGATAGAGCATCTATGGACGGTGAAAGGCAATGAAGATGAATGATGGAGCATAGATGCTTTGGTTATGTTTTATTTAGTTTATGGTTTAGTTGTGTTGTTTTTTATTTATTATGGTTTGGTTGTGGTTTGTTATTATTATTGTGCCTTGTTTGTAGTTTTTTTTTAAATTTTAATTATGTTTTGTTTGATGTATGGAATATGTTGAATAAAAATGTATTTTATTGAATGCTTTGTTTATTAAATAAAGAAATCCAATACAAGTCATTAAGAATTACAACAACTTTAATAGAAAACATGAAAAATACAAATACATAAAAGGTATGCCAACTAATTTAATGGTTTTCATCATTTAACCAATCCGTGTTGCTAGGCCCATCATCCCGAAAATGTATTCTTCTCATAACATCCCTTCGTTCTAGCTTCCAAAATTATTTTGTTTCAGGGGACATATGGCTTATATCCATCGCCATGGTTTTCCGATCCGTCCTGTCCATATCTTTTTTGCGCAAATACTCCCTTTCGTGCATACTCGGCTTGAATTGCCATCTCGTTCTCTTGGCGTTTCTGCTCCATTTTAATTCTTACGGCATTCTGCCTTGCAATTTCCTCCAAAAACTTTGAATTATTATTGCTTGAATTACCCACCGCTTTCTTCGCCTTTGCAGCCTTACGGCCAATGGGCCTCGGCTCCTTTTCGATGGGTGAGTCTTGACTCATAGGGGAATCGATAGGTGAAACCGATGGCATTGAATTACGGAGTGACGTCTCATTTAACATAGCCTCGGGACCCGGGGGAATAATTATGAAGCGTTTGCAATATTTCACCACCTCCCAACATTCATGATGGGTGAAACTTTTTTTGCCACCCCGGTTGCACCAAACCACATATATGCTTGAATAATCTATTTAACAAAAAAAAGGAAATGCAAGAAATATTTAAAATATATTGGATATGCAAGTAACAAAAAAAATATAATGGAAATGCAATTAACCTTACAAATAAATTGGAAGTGCAAGAAATATTAAGAAACAATTTAAAATGCAAGAAATATTAACAAAATATTTAAAATGCAATACACATTAACAAAATATATATATTAGGAGATTAAACTTAATAAAACGAAAATTACAAAATACTTACTTCATTAGTACGATTTTCCCCGCTTCTAAAGTTGTGCATCGCTTCTGACAAGGTATCTCTCCATTTTCTCAACTCTTTATTGAGAATTTTCCACCTACTAGACAATGCCATTTCAGTAAGAGTCGACCTCGGAATTTTTTCACAAAATTCGGCATGAATTTTTTTTCCACATATGAAAAAATTTCATCTCATTGCCTGACACGGGATAATGACAAATTTGGAACCAAGCCTCACATAGGGAAACATCTTCCATGGTACTCTACGCCCCTCCGGTTTCGATAGAAAAAGCCATAAAAATATTTCAATAAAAATACAAGGTGAAAGAGAAGAAAATGTAGGCCAAAAAGAGTGAATAATAGTATAATTAGAATAAAATGTATAAGGATTGGTGTTGAAAGTGAAGGGTATTGATAGATATTTATAGAAAAAATAAAAATAATTTTTTAGTATTTTTTTTTTAAATTTTGATTTTTTTTTTCTTCATAATTTTATTGCTAAAAAAATGCCAACCATTGGATTGGATTCGGAGAAGCAGATCTGAGCGCTGGGGGCTTGACACGTGGCTTATGCCTGTTGGAGCTGGCGTCGCGCTGACGTTAGCGCACGCTGATTTAAATTTTTTTTACCGTTGGCGCGGGCGCGTGCATTGCACGCGCTAGCTTTAAAAAAAATTAAACCGCGTGATGACGTCGCGCATGACGTCACCCAAAACGCCGGCTCAACCTCGGGCTGAACTGGCCTTCAGGCCACCCCGACTTCGTGGGACCCACTCCTCCCCCCGGCTTGGGCTGTCAGCTAGAACGTCAATTTTTTTTTCCCCCTAGCCTTGGGCTCAGCCCTTCGCTGGAACTACTCTTAAGGGTATAACTACAAGGTACTAAACTGTAATTAACCCAAATTATTATCCCACATTTTCTATACATGTCTTTTTTTGGCGCTCTCTCTCTCTCTCTCTCTCTCGCTCTCTCTCTCTCCTTCCTTTGATCTTATTATGGAGTTTAGAAAATTAAGTAAATTTAGGTTTTAGCAAAAAAAAAAAAAAAATTTCACTTTTGGAAAAAGCCAAAGCTTTTTCAAAAAAGACAGAAAAACCTCTCAACTTTCAAATCAAAGACATGCAAATGTAAAGGATTTCTTAGGAAATCCAAAAATAAATAAGGGCAATTTTGTTTATTTTGGCTTCTTTTACAAATTTTTTCTCTCCTTTGTGTTTTTCCAAAGTCTCCCTTAGAATTATGCATTACTTTGTGCCTTGGGCGTATATTGTCTTACAAATCCCCCATTTAGAAGAGAGAGATTCGTAAAGATTGGTTTTGACTCAATATCAATCCAAATAAATCCAGTCCAGGCGAACCACTGAACCACTTTAAGTCCCATCAAATTTTGGAAGTTTCCATTTCCAATTTGCCCAATTAAAGTCCCTCAAATTCCATGTTGAAGTTACAGCCCAATTAATACAAGACACAAAGCAAGTTTTGTATAAACTAATATCCCATTAAACCAATTACATGTAAATGTAATTTACAACGTGTTAACAGGGCAATGTGTATTTCTACTCGAACTAGGAACACTCTGAATGAGAGAACCCGCAAACCTATTGCAACTGAACAGCCAAAGGGGGTTATGAAAATTATAGCATTAGGTCTTGCCGGTTGCTATAAATATAAACCAGCAAGAGACTACATATACAATGGAAAAAAAAGAAAGAAAGAATGGTAGCCCCATATATCTTCGAGTGTATGCTATAAAAACAGGAAGTTTCCTTGCAGAGATATGATGAGCACAAGAAAAGCCACTATGCTTGCTGGTATCAGATCATAGGGATTGAGATGCAACGAACTGCTGTCACTTATCTGTCCTGCATTGACATATTCACTTTTTCCGGTTCTACTTGTTGCAGAGACGTTAACGGACATTGAACCTAAAACAATAATGCACCGTATCAAAGTTTAGTGTTAGCATAATCTAAAAGCTTGGACAGTGGATAGCAGACAACCAATGATTGCATAAAATTCCTTTCCGGCAGGATTACTGAAACTTACAGTCATAGTTAGCCCATCCAATTCGTTGACCACCCAAATCATAAACAATGATTTTGTCTTTTAGCACAAGGTCTGGCAAAAGGAAAATTGAAATAATGTTAACGTTTATGCATAAATAAGGGCAAGGATTTTAGGGTGGAGAAAGCGGGAGAAAAAGAGAGAGTTGTACCAAATATGATGATAGCGTAGGTGAAAAGAATGTATTAAAAATTCTCATGCACAATGATTTCTACTCTAATGTATGTCCACTGACAAAGCTCATGAGATAATGGAATATCAACCTTGAAAGGAACTGTCTAGAGCCTACAAAACTAATTAGTCAATACAAAGTTTCCAATTTGGCGACTATACCTCCTAAAATCGTTATTCCTGAACCTTGAAGTTTCTGAAGGCCAATGCACCACCTTGCAGCACCACTCTGTAATAATAAAATTAGCCATCTCAGCTAAAGATTCAGACAGCAAGACTACAGTTGTACAAGGTGATAAAGAAAGAATAAGCATGTATAATTAGAAAACCATTTCCCCTTTCCAATAAATACCAGTGCTAAATGCTACGAGTGGGAGCAACCATTAATGCAGCAAGTAGTAAAGAAAAATTTGCAGGATGAATACTAAGGAATAGTCAAGGCAGACATATATGCAATTGTAGAATCAATCATAAGGCCTCATCAATAGAAGACGCAGATGCATTTCACTCCAACTCAACAGCATTTTGTGTGAAAACAAAATGTCCAAGCAAGTGCTTAGAAAATGAAAATAACTACACAGAAAACTTACAATAGATCCCTGCTGTATAAGGTAGTCCTGAGGTCTCAGAATCATGGATGCGCCACCAGCAAAGTTTAAACTAACTTGAGGAAATATATCACTGACACTGAACAACAAATAAGCATACATTTTAGAGTAAAATCACTGCAAAAGAGAAAGCACTGAAGGAAGAAAGAATGGAGAAAACAAATCCAGAAAGTTAACCTGGAGGTAATTAAATAACACTGGTTTCCGTTTGAAACAACAGGGTGCACGGATTGTGAAACAGAAGCAGTAATCTGCACGATAAGAAAAATATATATAATTCAAGATACTCTAACTTATGCTTACCCAAATTTTCTGAAATTTAAAGCTCTGTCACATCACCAGAAAGGTTGACTAGATAAACATGTCAAAGGGCATGAACTTTTCATTTATTTCACTTGAAGCATCAGAATTATGGTCTAAACAGACTAATTATGACTAGGAAATCACACAAGTCATAACTAAGACTTACAGCACTGATAAAAGGATCATAAGCTTCAGATGCAAGGTATGCCAAAGTTGTACCAGAATCAACTATGGTTCCTCGATTACTTGATGTTGCAAACACTGATGGATCAATTTGTAATATTTGCCCATTGACAGAAATGCTCTGCAGATTCAAATTATAATGAGGCCTGAAATATTTAATGTCCAAATGATTAGTCAAAACAGAGCAGTGAGGTTTATATGATCTAAATCTCATGGATTCTAGTAGAAAACAAAAACAAAATAAAAATTTCCTAACATTGAACCTATTTGAATTGAACTACAAGTTAATAAGTTTGTAGAGAAGTATTATGTCCAATGACTAGTTAACTTGTCAAGGATTCCAAATGGTCAAGTGACCTTCCATTTTAATGTCATACTCAAGGCTCTTTCTTTTCATACCAAAACAATCTTCTGAAGGTAGTTTCTTCGTGTTTCTTTTCATAATTGTTAGGTTTCAGTTGAACTATAATTTACTATAACAGGGGGATTTACATTTGATTCCTTGACGATAGTGAAAATAACAGAAGGCCAGAAACTAGTATTGGGTTCAGGGTAACATTGCAAGATGTGCAGTGTAATCATAATATAAAGGAACGTACTGTGATGGGACGAGCGGGCTATAGACTATATTTGGTTCCACAATCTCGCCGATAACCAATATACCTCCACCACCATCATCTCCCCTCAAGCAGTGGGAGAAGACGTTTGGTGCTACTCCTTGTGAAGCCAACTGAGAGATGACAGACATACCCTGTTGGCCAAACCCAAAGATCCCATCAACTGCTCTATCTGACTTTGTCAAATCACCAGTCTGCAAGGTGCTACACCTGTTTTTACCATCCTAGAGAATGACTTTCAAGATTCAAGCAAAATGTACAAAGAGTATAAATCAATTATTTAACTTGGAAAGATTAGTTATAACTCACCCAAAGACAATGGAAGCTGAAGCATTTTGTGTTACAGAACCCTCAAGAATCGTCTCAAGGTGCAACAAGTCTGATACATAATAGCCTGATGTCCCACTGCCATCTCCATACTGGAATGTGTACGAACACTGGTTACTCTGAGTGGAACAATCCGAATCTGATGATTGAATGCCAAGACTGCATCTTCGATCCGAACAAGAAATGAATTGTGATGTTGATGAGCTTTGAGGATCAAACAAATTGAGCTCAATCTGTAAGAATTACAAGCAACCCTTTTGAAAATTGTAGCAACACATGGCTCCTAAGCTTTCACAAACTGAGAGAGACTGAAACTATAAATGGAGTTTTGAGAGCAAGCAAATGTAATTTTACCTGGAGTCCACTTGTTTCGGGGCAACCGTTGCAGGAACCACAACTGACCCACAGAACATCACTTCCGGTATCAATCTGCACATAATAATCTTTCGGAGGAGATCCCAATTGCAGTTTTGTATAATAGAGCCTGTAAAAGAGGAACAAATCCCAGGAAAGGCAACAGAATTAGTAAGAATCCTCCAAACGTTAAAATGATAGATACCCACTACCTGCAGCAGTAAACTTGAAACTGAACAGAAGCCAAAGCAAATCCAAAGCTAGAACTTGCAGAAAATGAGCATAAAACTTGTAGAAATTTTAAAGAAACAAATGAAGAAAGAAGAGATACTTAACAATCATTCACAGAAGGGAACTAATTACAAGCAAGGAACCCAATATAAAAACGGAAACCAGTATCCACAAAACCAAATCAAAACCCATATATCCTTCACAACCAAACAAGACAATTAAATGAAAAGAAGCCAGAAACACACAAATAAATGAAAATCCTTCTCACAAAACCATAAAAAAAGAAGCACAGAAGGTGTCAAATTACCCAACGCGGAACGGATCGAAGGTTCCCCGAACAGGTAAATCAACGATACCATTAGTGGACTGAAGCATTCTTCCATGCCTGGCTCTGTCCCGAGCTCTGAGTTGACTCAACTCCACTCGGAGGCTATTAGGAAAAGCTCTCTCGAGGCTGAGGGCGGCCGGGAAACTACACAGCACCACAGCCGCCGACATCAGAATTGAGCCGGCGATTAGAATTCCGAAGGGAAAGCCCATTTTCGCGGGTCTGGGTCAGAATCAGACCAAAAAACCAATGTCAACAATTATGGAAATAACAACAAAAGATTCAAAAGCTCAGAGCTTCCATTCGCAGGCAAGGCTTGTGTTGTTTTCTTAAACACTAATGTAGATTGAGGCAAGTACCTCTGTTGTGGGTTTTGAAGAATAAGGAAAGACAAGAGTCTTCTTCTTCTTCTTCTTCAGAGGGAGAGAGAGAGAGATGGGAATTGAGGAAAGCCTGCAACAATAAGTTTCAAAATTGCGGCAATGGATTACGTTACCTTCCTTTATATTATTAATTTAATTTGTTTATCTTTTTTACTTTCGCTTTATTATTTTTATTATTTAACTTTCATCATTCTTTATTCTTTCACTTCTGAAAGTACAAATTTTTGGGTATGCGCTGTGACAAGTGGGATCTTCGATGCGGTTTCCTGTTTGGTGAGCTACAAAATCATGCGCGTAAGCCGTACGCCCTTTGTCTTTCTTTCTTAATTCAGCCTGAGTTTTGTGGATGCTGATTGTTATGGAAGAAGATGATCAAGTTAGTGATATCAGCAATGCCACCTAAACTATATATGCTTGTTTTCATTTGTCATCTTAATGAATATTTTGTTGTAATGGCAGAAAAGTCTGCGTGCGATGTGGTCTCGATCACTCTTTATATCACTCAAGGGAAATTTCTCTTTATCTATTTAGGTTGTTTTGTCTATTTTTCATCCACAAAGATAACGTACGGTGATTCGTATGCGACCCATTTGAGTTGTGTTTTAACATCTAAAATATCGATACACATTTTGTTTGAAGAATCAGAAGCGAAACACATGCAATTTTTCATATGCAAAAAGAGATGAGTTCAATCATAGAGGAAACATTGCAACAAGATTTTAGTTGGTGGGAAAATAATAAGTTCGGGGGCAACAACAACTCCAAATACTATAATGATGAAGCCTTTTTTATCTGCACTTTTCCATTTTGTCACTCCACCACTATGTTTTGAATTAATTTAATTCCAATGAGTTTGTGTGACTTTGTTTTGAATCAATGCATTATTGAGAACAAGGAGTACAAGGAGTACAAACCATGAAAATGAAAATAAATAAATTACTTAATAGATTGACTTTTTTTGCTGACCGTACGATTTCATTTTCTTCAACCTTTCTTGGGACATCCCTCCTCTGTGGTTGAAGAAGAGGGCCCAATGCCTACTATTTGCCTCCAAAAGAGCCGAAATCTTCCAATTCAACTATCTTTTTTAAATGCCCATATAGCCCCTATCTTTGATTTCAACTTTAGCAGAAACCAATGCACAATTATTTCTTCTTTTCTGCTAAAAGAAATGCACAATTATTTCACATTTTCCTTTACATGGTCGGTTTTCAAAGCTAAAGTAGTCCACGTTTAGCAGTCTCTCTTTTATTATATACTTGTTTAAAGCAAATCAGGTTAACCTTTTTCCAAATGACTAATTTACCCCCATATACTTTTTGGTAAGGGGTATTGCTTTCTTCATTTTTCTTAATTTGAAAGCCATCCAATTCTGTTTTTCCAATACTTTTTTTAATTATTGGTAAGGATTAGTTGATTATTAGATGATTATTAGATTTAATTAAAATTGAATTATATACTTTACAATCCAATATAGTTTAGATTGGAATTTTTTTTTAGTGGATTCATACACTTTCACAACCATAAAAGTAGAAATAGTCAACTTAGATAAGTCCCTTACTTTATATGAATCTGAATTTCCCTTCTCGTAATTTAGATTAAATTTAAGTAAAATAATACTTGTATGAAAAAAAAAAAGAATTCCTGATAAATTCACAATTAAATAAGAAATATAATTTTGAAAAAATAGATTAAAAAACATTGTTTTCAATTGAATCGATTGAATGAGGTCAGATGAAGAAAGTAATTTAGAGTTGAAACACTCTTACGACTTTTCTGCTTTATCAGCAGTGAGACACTTGGACAATTTTCTTTGGTCGGCAACTTGGCAACGTCGCAGCCGCATCAGGAACAGAAACTGCAAATTGCCACGTACCGCAACATGACTTCAAACCAATATCCGAGTCAAAGACTTCACCTAAAAGAAAAAAGAAAATAAAAATGATGAGACATCTCAATTATTTTTAAAAAGAGATTTTCTATTTTCTATTATTTTAAATGATAAGACATATAAATTATTTTATAAAGAATAAATTTTCTATAGAAAAAAAAAACAAAAAAAACAAATCATGGGATAATATATTTTTTTGTTGTTGAATGTGAATATTAACGTTTACATCTTCCCTTGACCAATTAAAGAGCTACTCATAAGTGCACGCCTCTAAATCTAGAAACAAAACTAGCTACTATGTGAGCAGCTTGGTGGTATCAATTTTATGAAGAAGTGATAATGATAAGTTGTAAAGTTGGAGTTAATGTCGACTGATTAAAATTTAGTAGATTAATCAATTACATAAATACATTAAATTTTTATTTTTTATTTTTTTATTTTTTTGGGGAGTAAATAGCAATAGTATTCTATTGATATGAGGATAAGCAATAAGTTACAAAAATCGAGCTGGCTATGTTGTCGAGGATTACGCGAGTGTCTCTACACATATGAGCTTGGTCGTCTGTCTAACTGGATAGCCTTGAGATTCAAAAACATTTACTAATTCAATGTCAACATATCTTTAGATATGCTAACTTTGTTGCAGATGCTATAGCAAAATTATAGTTCTAATTGACATATTTGGCACGCTCCCTTCATGTATAGTCTCTTTTTAATTTTGATAGATAAGGGTGTCAGTAACCCAAAAAAAAAGTAACAAAAAAAGCAAAAAAAATAGCCCACCAAACCTCTCTCTCTTTGTCCCTCTCTTCCTCTATCTCCTCTCCCCCTTTAGTTTCCTAAATAGAGAATTTCCGGTCACCATCTCCATCAAAACCGTCGCAACAGTTTGCTCAGATCCCTTGGAGATTGATGTATGTTTTCATCTTTTGGTACATTTGGAAGTGGGGGAATGATTTTATCTTTAATGAAGAAGCAGCCTTGCCTTTTAACTCTCGTGAATTGATCATGTATGCGTCTAAGATTGGGTAAAGGCTACTACTAATATTCATACTTGAATTGGTAAGGTTCAGAATATGTTAGCTTGGACTCCTCCTGATATTGGGGTTCTTAAGCTAAACGTGGATGGGTCTCATAGAGGCAGCACGGGAAGCATTGGTGCTGGATGGGTTATCAGAGATTATTTGGGACATTGGATTGCTGGATTTTCTGTCATATTATTCTTAACAAAATACACACTCCTTCACATGAAATATAAGTTACATGGACTGATTCTTCGAATGCAAGCACTTATGATTTAGCTAAACCAAAGATAATGTTTATTTAATCTTTCTTTATTTGCTCAAAGTCTATTTAATCTTCGATTAGTTCCATGTTATATTGTTCTTTGGAGACAACTAACAAATGTACTGTCACGTTCTCACAGCCCAAAAACAGAAAATAAAGACCAGTATGCCAACCAAGAAATAAAGAAGGAAGCTTCCTCACATTCCTTCTGGAAATGGCACAGAAATCAGGAAGCTTCCTCACATTGATCACATATAACCTTTATTTAGTGAAACATATTTTAAGCACAAATTGGGAAGCAAAGAAAATGCCCGACTGACTGGGGGAAAGAAGGGAGAAGATATTTATTATTATTTCATATGAAAACGCCCGCGAAAACTCATACTTAAACTCCAAACCAAATTAAATCGCATCCAGCAAATTTCCAGTTACAACATTATGTGTAAGCTTTTTCTTTTTGTTTCCAAAAGTTTGGTCCAAGATACCTCATAGCCTAAGTGTAAGTAGTCGCTAAATTAATCAAACAAAAGTATAATTCAAAAATTTATTTTCTTACAAATATAATTCGAAAATTTGTAATGAGTAAGAATATAATATGTATATATAGAAATTTTCCTATTCGGATCTTATTATTGTGCAGACGCCGCGTATTTTCTACTACTCCTCCCCGTTTTCTTCCATGTTTACAACGGCATCCGCACGATAATAACGTGTGGACATCCGGATGAGAGAATAACTAATAGGGCTAATATATATTTTACTTGATAGGGATAAAAAATAAAGTATTGGATTCAAGAAAACTATCCAATGTATATACACTAGTCGCAGCTACAGATTAATGAGAATCCTCTATAATGACATGTTTACTAATCCGTAATTGTAATGAACTCCTCCTCAATTCAATTCCTTTGCATACTGATTATGATTAATAAACATGTCATAAATTGCCTGGAATAAATCTTGTGGACAACAAATACAATATAATAAATAAACTTTCAATATCCAAGGTGCATATTCCAACATGATAATCAAAAGTTTAAGAGTGGAACTAATTATCAACACAATGAAACTGAAAGTTTTTCTTTTTGTTGGTTTGGTCAGAAATGAAACTGAAAGTTAACATTAATCAAAGAAATGCGGAGAAGAATTTGGAAAACCTCAGCCACCAAACAGATCAAGGAGATAGATTAACAAGACTTGAAAAAATTTATTAAAGATAAACCTAGCTATGAGATTAACTTCAGAAAAATAAAGGATACTTAAATATTACTGAGCAGGAAAACAGCTGCTTTTGGCTCTCATTGACGGCTTCAAGAAGCTCTCACTTTGAAGTTGAAAAGGGTCATTCTTTTCTGTGATGATTCCCAGCCTTCAAGTTACAAACACACTTCCTGGAAGCAGCGAGTCAATCAAGTAACTCTTGTGTTTAATGGGGGCTACAGCTTCTCAGAGCACCTACCCTGCAGGAACTAGCAAAACCATGAGTGTGAAGGAGACTTGTTTGATTTGCTTCGAAGACACTCCTATTGCTCGAATGTTTTCAATTGGTACTTGCCATCACAAATATTGCTTGTCTTGTATGAAACGTCATGTGGAAGTAAATTTGCAAAGCGGGATTGTGGCACAATGCCCTCATAAAGACTGTAAATGTGAAGTGAATATTAAAACCTGTAAAAAATTATTGTCTCCTAAACTTGCTGACGTTATGATCAAACTGTTATGTTTTCCTATTTAGATCGGTGCATTAGATACTAAGTCATATTATGTTTAATACGAGTTTAATTAAGTTATGCCTTGAGGCCCAAAATCTTGTGAAATAAGGAAGGGTTTTGGAGCCTAATTAAGGAGTCCTATTTTGTTTCCTTTTTGCGTGAACCGATTAAGTGGGCTTGAAAGATAA